AAATAGTGATACTTTATTGTGTTTCTTTAATTTAATTCAAATTCTATTTGTTCACCTCTTGTAGGCCTGATATATATATTCACCTTTAATTTTTTATGTGTAGAGTAAACATTAAATTCTGTTGTTTTGCATTATACACATCTTCTGATGGATGTTTTCAGTTGTGAGATAAAATGCATGAAAGGCCATGAAGATATGGCATTTATTTTAAGTGGTAATGAATTATACTAGACTATCAAAAATATTTAAGTTGTATTTTCAATGAATTGCTGGGTTGGACACAAGTATGTAAGTCAGCATAAAAGAATTGGAGTGGTAATAAAATAGAAAAAAGGTGAAAGCCTATCACATACTACTATATATATATATATATATTACCAATAGTTCTTTCGAATGGAACACCCTAACTTTCACTTGGTGATGGGTTGGACCCTACTACATTTCAGTGTGAAGCCTCTGCATAATGCTTTGTAGAACTTATCTCTGTTGAAATCCAGATGTAATGAAAAGAAAGCTCACTTCATCTTCTAAGAGAAATGACAATTTGAAATAACACTGATTTATGGCATAGGTAGTATGCCATATCGCATTTTATGTCCAGTTGTAACTTTTAGGACATATAACATCTGTATATGATGTGGTGCATAGGGGAATCAGAAGGGGCATGTGCCACCCTACTTTAAATACTTTTTGGCACCCCCCCAAACTTTTAACAAAGTTAGGCACAGATAATTTAGAAGAACCTACTAATGAAGGAACTATATTACTACAATTCATAAGCTTCAGTATAGTTATATGTCTTTTTGTCTCTATCTGTGATATTGGCAGATATAGAATTTTAACTCTGTATACGATACTAACTTACTTGTTTGCATGTAACTTTGGAACAGCTTAAGTTCCGACACATCACTATGCCATCAAGACACTCACATTGTTGGCAATCTTTCTCCCATTTCTCACCATTCTGCACTCAAGAGACATAAAAACAAAGAATTCCATAAAAATTTGTATTTAGAGCTGAATAAATGAATTTATTTGACTACAAATGTCATTAATTACTGGAAAGAGAATATTACTACCATTAATTAATTAATTAAATACAAAACTAACTAGAAGATGAATATGTGATCACAACACTCACTAAATACTAGAAACTGAATATAATTAATTTACTTGATCACAGCAATCAATAAGTATTGGAAACAGAATATAATTGACTTACTTGACCACAGTATGGATTAGAAGGTGAATATAACTGATGTACCTGAACAAAACACTCAGTGAGTATTGGAAGCTAAATATAGCTGAGTTACTTGATCACAATGTTCACTAAGTACCGGAAGTTAAATATCACAATCTTTATTAAGTATTGATGGATTTTAAGTTTTCTTGTTGAGGAAACAAAATGAAACTAAAAATTTAAAGATAAGTTCAGAATTCTATCGTTCATAATCAGTTATTAGGTCATATGACTCACCAAATACACCAAATGTCCATCTTCACAGAAACTAGTAGCTAAAGAAACAGAAAAAAAATTTAATTAAAATATAAAGTCTACAAACAAGGAGATATCACATAATTTGGAACCTCATATTAAAAAAAACAGTGATTAAACAATATATTGCAAATCCATAAAAAAAGAAAAAGTTAATATTTTAGATACATATCTTTGGACCAGTCAGCAACTATAATTTACTGTTAGAGTTAAATGCAACTTTCATTTCATTTATGTTTTTAGAGCTCATATATTTTTTTATTACTCTATTTACCCACATTAAAAAGAAACACTTACTAGCACTATGTTCTCTTCATATACATTATTTTGGTACTCATTTTATTTTAAAAGGAAAAATTGTGTTTAATACACCTGAAATATGGATGTGAATTAAATATAATTGGTCATTTCCAAAAAATATTTGATTAAATAAATGTTAACAAATGAATGCAAACAATTTTATATTTTCAACTGTTTGGCAAATAAAGCAATAATTCATACTTCTGGTAAGAAAAGTTTTTTCCTTGTTTAGTTAATGCATGCATACCTGGTAAAGTTATGTATACCTCTCTAGAAAACTCATATTAAAATGTGTTTGCATTATTCTGGTTAATGCTGATGAATGATTTGAACACAAAAATGTTTCTAACTGATATGAAACATAATCTTTACAACAAATATAAATTTGCAAGAGATTATGCAAGTACATGTTTACTTTCTTGATATTCTTTAGTAAAAATTCTAATTCACAGAATGTTTGTATTAAGTAACTTATTTGGACTATCACCACGTTTTTCTTTTTTAGTTTTTTCAATGCACAAGCTTTCAGCTCAATTACCTAAGCCTTCTACTGGTATGAGATGTTTAATAAACAACAGTATCTAACGTTAGAAAGTGTGCTGTAGTATTAATTCATCATTTTTAGCATGTTGATATGGCTTAGGCTTTTGAAAGTGTGCTGTAGTATTAATTTGGGAGTAGCTTCTTATCTATCTTACTCTCTCTTCAAGCAAGATAAGCCAAGTTTCACTTGTGATAGCCAAATAGCTGTTTTTGACCAAACCTGTTTTAATTTCCAATAAACTGAACCTTTTTTGATGTAGGGGGGGGGGGGTTTCTGAACATAAAAATATAAACATTAACCAAATACTGAACAGAACAAAGGTAAGTCAATCCAAAAGTTGTACCCCCCCTCTTTCAAAATCTCTTGTCCATGCCTGCAAATTGCATAAAAACCATAAAATTGCAATAACTTTACCAAAACAATTGAGGTCATCATCTCCAAGTTTCATGTCATTAGGGCAGGAACATAAAAAAGATCCAGGTGTATTGGTACACATATGACTACATCCTCCATTTTCAAATAAACATTCATTAACATCTGAAAAGAAAAGAAAAATGTGTACTTTTAATAAACTATAGGAACTAGATAACACTTAAGTCAATAAATTTGGTTACTTCTTCCTATATACAACTGATATATCTAACAATAAATATAATAGTTTAATAAATGAATCTATCTATCCATTCGTCTATAAAGAAGAAAAGTTATGAATTTTCAATGAAATTTTTATGTTAAATTGTATTTTCAAAGGACATAACTTAAGTGCAGTATAGATGACTATAATAAGAATCTGTATTACAGACTACACGATTACAATGAATATCTCTGGTGCAGCCTACATGACTACAGTAAGAACCTGTATTACAGTCTACATGATTACAATAAGAACCTGTAGTACAGCCTACATGATTACAATGAGTATCTCTGGTGCAGCTTACATGACTACAGGAAGAACCTGTAGTACAGCCTACATGGCTACAGTAAGAATCTGTAGTACAGCCTACATGATTACAATGAGTATCTCTGGTGCAGCCTAAATGACTACAGGAAGAACCTGTAGTACAGCCTACATGACTACAGTAAGAACTTGTAGTACAGCCTATATAACTACAATGAGTATCTCTGGTATAACCTATATAATTGCAGTAAGAACCTATTAGTACAGCATACATGAATGCAATAAGAACCTATTAGTACAGTATACATGAGTATGATAAGAATCTTTAATACAACATACATGACTATGATAATAGCCTCTAAGCAGAAAAAATATAGACTCTAAGTGACTGATCTCTATACATGGAAGTGAAGGATAACAGACATGATGGAAAACAACTTAATGACACACTTAGTTACTTAACTCTCGGAAAGAAATGATAAGTAGAAACAAATACAGCATAGATAAAAATATAAATGAAAACAAGAGACCAATAATTGTACAAAATACATCTTAAAGGTACTCCCACAAGCAGAGAAAGTCAATAGTTTAAGAGCTGAATCTTAAGAGCTCCAGTAAATTCCATCTTTTTGAAGGTCTTCTCTTGTAACAAATACTTACAACTTGGACATTAGCTGTTCAAAGTAAATCCTTCTAGTGTTAAATATAATGATTGACACTTTAGCAGTTGAACTTATATACAAAAAATCTAACTTTCTGTTAAAAATGCATTCTCCACAGACAGATTAGAACTTGCCAGACTGACAGTGGTTTCCTTTATAGTCTTTCTCAACTCAGGTATATCTGGAATTACTAAACTGATGGTGTTTCCTTTATAGTCTTTCTCAACTCAGGTATATCTGGAATTACTAAACTGATGGTGTTTTCCCTTATAGTCTTTCTCAACTCAGGTATATCTGGACTTACTAAACTGATGGTGTTTTCCTTTATAGCTTTTCTCAGTTCAGGTATATCTGGAATTACTAAACTGATGGTGTTTTCCTTTATAGTCTTTCTCAACTCAGGTATATCTGGAATTACTAAACTGATGGTGTTTTCCCTTATAGTCTTTCTCAACTCAGGTATATCTGGAATTACTAAACTGATGGTGTTTTCCTTTATAGCTTTTCTCAGCTCAGGTATATCTGGACTTACTAAACTGATGGTGTTTTCTCTTATAGTGTTTCTCAGCTCAGGTATATCTGGACTTACTAAACTGATGGTGTTTTCTCTTATAGTCTTTCTGAGCTCAGGTATATCTGGAATTACTAAACTGATGGTGTTTTCCCTTATAGTCTTTCTCAGCTCAGGTATATCTGGAATTACTTAACTGATGGTGTTTTCACTTATAGTCTTTCTCAACTCAGGTATATCTGGACTTACTAAACTGACGGTGTTTTCCCTTATAGTCTTTCTCAGCTCAGGTATATCTGGAATTACTAAACTGATGGTGGTTTTCTTTATAACTTTTCTCCACTCACATAGACAACAACTTACCAAACTGACAGTATTTTCCTTTATAGCCTTTTTCACATTCACAGTAGTAATGCCCATCTAAAGTCTGCTTACATAGCTGACTGTTGCTACAAGGATTGGGGGAACAGGTTGGTATGTATTTCCAACACAGGGTACCTGTAAATACCATGACAACACAATTATGTAAACTAGAAACAAAACTTAAAACAGTTTTTGCATTCTTACATTAAAATAAGACTGATAATAATGTTTTAGAAATTTTCCTTTACTAGCCTTATGCTACTGGTTTCCAGTAAGAAGAAAATAATAGCATCTTGACCTCACATCTTATGCATTAAACACCACTGCCAATGAGGCCTTCAGCTGGTAGTAAGTTAAATATAAGCTATACTTCGTTTAAATATTAGATCTTTCATTAATTTCAAAGTAATAGCATCTCAGTACTTCATTTGTATGACTAAAAACTCTTTATAATTCAATAACTGCTATGAAAATACTTTCCTTTAAGAATAGTGATTGATTTCAGAGAGATACATTTTTGTTTGTGAAAGTTGTTACATTTCTATTTAAATTGAATCATTAATTATCTGTAACTGGCAAAATTTGATTAAGTGTAATTTGTCAATTCCCATTAAAGGAATATCCAAGCATTTTTATGAAACTTACGCAGTGATGATTCTTGGTTGATACATAAACAATCTGTGGTTGAACACTCTCCAATATCTAAAGAAAGAAAGAAAAGTCAAAAGGTAAAACACTGATCTTCAGCATGGCATTTCAATTAGAAAGATATAAAATCAACAATTAATACTTTTTCATTGAGATCTAATTAAAATGCATTACCACAGTTTTAAACCAGAATGTAAGCTCTATTGATTTTTATTTTCTAATGCTTTAATAAAAATACAAACTCTTTACATTCACACCTAATAACCATGCATTAAGTTAGAAAAGAAAGCTAAGTGCATTAATACAAGCATAATCCTAGGGCTTTTTCTCTATTAACTTTCATTCTGCTAATTTTTAAAAGTATCCTTGATAAGTTAGAGGCACAGAGTAAATGCTCTTCACATATTTAAAGTCTGTTTTAGAAAGTATCCTTTTAAGTTAGAGAGAAGGAGCTCCTACTCATCACTACATTGTAATCTGCCTCAAGGAGTATCTATGTCAAGCCTGAGAGGAAGACTCAAGGTGTAGTAGAACAGAAAAGTATAAATAGCTCCAGGTTGATCATATCCTTAAAAATGTTTCCATTTCCAGTTCAGTGAAATATGTACTGTAATGCTAAAACAAAGTGAAGAACATACCATTACACAACTGGTTGTCTTGGAAAATTGAAACGTTTCCATGAATATGATTTTTTACTTCAGGCCATGTCACTATATTTCCCAGCAACCCACATGTTTTTTTTATTGTTGTAATTTGCTCTGCATTCATGGCAAAGTCCCACACATTGAACTATGAGAAACAAACAACTATAAATTCTTACATAATATGATTAACACATTTAAAAAAAACAATTATCACAAAGAAAAAAACTTTAATAACAGTTTTTAATTTCATGTTATAATTTTGAAATTAATCATTTGAAGCTTGGAAGGGGAAAACTTCCATTATGATCTAAGTTGTAAATCCATGCAATGTGATATGAAGGTATTGGTTTCATTTGACATACTTGCACTTTTATCTATAGAGAGATAAAATACATAGATTAAATTAAGTAATGTTTTGTCTGGTCTTAAAGTTATTCCTTTCTTTAGTTTGGTCACCATAGGTGTGCCCCTTTTCTTACATAAAATTAAGTTACGAGACTCACTATCTATTCATACTTTTATGTAAATAATTACATCCCTGGAATTACATTTGTTATTATAATCTAAGTATATGATTTTAAACAAATCATTTAAAGATGAAACGTTTTTCACTTTAAATTTTACTGACATTCAATCGTGTCTTGTCTCTCTTGCTATTACTACTATAACAGTGTTCCAATTTAATTTGCTCTATGTTTGTACTTGAAAATTACTGAATTAGTGGTTGAAATGTCATATTATTCTAACATAAACAAGTTTCCAACTATCCATTATATACAAATGTTCTTTACACTTTTAGTTATCACAGTTGTACAAAGGGTTTTAAATAAGTGTCTTTTTTCGTCAAAGTCCACACAGACTGATTCATTTACTTCAGAACACATTTTGATAAGATGAATTATTCTTCTCTACTCTGTTATTGTAATACAGTCTGGGATAATTTCACTTAGAAACTGCCACTATACCATCTTTATGGCTAAACTCACCAGTACGCAGTCTAGATCTATCTGACTATATCTCTCACTTAATTAATTTAACTTGAAACTACATTTTGGATGCATATTTATAAATAGCCTGACTGAGGCCTAGTAACATGACACAGTAATACAACAAGCACCATTTCACAAAAACTGAACTACACAACGTATTATTCACACATTTATATAACAAACCTGTGATAACTATCGATTGTAAAATCAACTAAATTTAACATTTGCACTATACTCAAACTACCTAAATCATAACACTCACATTAAACTTAAACAGATATGTATATCTGACACCTAAATAAACAAATTATTTAAAATGGATGGAAGGAGAATAAAACCCATTTCTAAATACTACAGTTATATTATTATTATTATTATTATTATATTAAGATCTTCTAATATAACCAAAAGTACAAAGAAACCAATTTCTAAATATTATTTTATTATTATTATTATATTTAGATCTTCTACTATGAATGGAAGTATAATGAAACCAATTTCTAAATATTAGAATTATATTACTATAATAATATTTAGATCTTCTGCTATGGAATGGGTTCATTGAAACTTTTGGAAAACATGTAATTTAACTATATGTAATTTTAATTCATGATAAACAGTCATGAGAATAAATAATGCACTAATCAAGCTTTTAAAAACGAGTTGTGGTTGAAGGTTATGCGACTGCGCTTTTGTAAGAGAAATATACATACATTTAGTTTGGTTACATGCTTGAATAATATGCTGGTACATGTCAACTAGATAGCAAGTAAAGAGTATAATACGTTGGTTACATCCTTCAATAATTTGCTGGTATAGATCAAGTAATGAGTAAAGAATATTGCTTTTGTCTCCAACTGTCTCCATGTTATACTTCAGCTATGGTTATGAAGCTAACTAACTTGCCAGTATACATCAGCAATATCTCAATTTAAAAAAATAAGACATGTTGGCTGTGTTCCTTTATGACATATTGTTGTACCTCAGCTATATCTCCAGTATATGCTTCAGTCAAACTGAATCCTCCTCCGAGGCTATCTTGCTCCTGTCCAAGAATAAAGTGTCCACCCCACAGTCTCTCTCCTACAGCCACACCAGACCCAGACAAGCTGAGATGTGCATCCCAGTAGATGGCCCAGTCACCATTCTGGCCATCCCAAGTAACTGCACAATGATGCCACAAGTCATCTCTGTCAGAAGAAAATATTTGGTAGTACAAAGAATAAGCATTTTATAGCCAGATAAATATTTATCAACCATATGAGATGCTTAAAACTATTGGCTGAAAATATCATACCTTGAAAAAGGTTTCTTAAGTTTTTTTTCATTTCTTTTACCCTACTGATTCATAATCTTTGCAATTAAATACTTTCTTTCCTCAACAGTCCTACATGCAATCTTCTAAATTACTGGCATAAATGCTGACATATTCAAATTATTTTTGAACTCATTCACTAACTGAAAGAACTTTATAACTGAAACAGTGAGCACTGCATGATAAACAAAATTCAGAAGTTGTTGAATATAATGCAGGTAAAAAGGATTAAAGTCTATCAAGCTGTTTCTTATTTAGAATTCCTCAGTGAAGAATATGTATTAATCAGTTTCTTGCTGGTAAACTTATCCTGAGATTTATGAGTTTGCTTAGCAAAAATACTTTAATTGGAAATAAATATTCTACTAAACAATCATCCATAAAGTACAAATTTAATGCTTGTCATGAAGATCACTGCTCATGTATAAACAGTTAGTTACCATCCATGTTATTTAAGCTGCAAGTTAACATCCATCTTATGTAAGCTGCTAGTTAACATCCATCTTATGTAAGCTGCTAGTTAACATCCATCTTATGTAAGCTGCTAGTTAACATCCATCTTATGTAAGCTGTTAGCTAACATCCATCTTATGTAAGCTGTTAGTTAACATCCATCTTATGTAAGCTGCTAGTTAACATTCATGTTATGTAAGCTTTTAGTTAACATTCATATTGTGTAAGTTAACATTTTCCTAAACTGAAAATGTATTTCCAATAATAGTTACCTCTGCTGACACTATAGCAATTTCTTGATCTCCAGGGTTTCCACTCTTTGCCCATCTAAGCATTGAGAACACTTGCTCCAGTCTTTTATACTCCACTCAAATGCCTTAGGCAAATTCTAATTTGCAAATTTCTGTACCAACTTCAATGCACCCTCTATATAGGTACTATATAAGCACTTCATTCAAAAATGTAATCACTTTTTGAAACATAAACCAGCTTTTAGTGGGGAGGAATGAGTGTCAGCAGAGGTAAATATTATTGGAAATACATTTTCAATTTATGAAAAATGTTAACTTCCAAAATATACTTACCATCCACTGATACTATAGCTAGAATCCCACATTGAGAAGGTGGAGGAGCCTGTGCAAACATGATCACTACAGAAAACATCTGTATAGAACAGAAGTGTACCAAGATAAAAAATGGTACAAGAGTGGGGGAACTGCACTATATCCAGAACAGATATGCTCTACACCAGGAACTTAGTTCCTATATCAAAGATGGAATAGAATATGATTAATCGTCAGTATAGGCCAGCCCCAACCAGATAACCCAAGGTTTCACAACTCAGGGTTGGAATATATGGGTCGTGGTATCTATATCTCACATTGGTGGCTAGAACTATTGGACTGCAATGTTTTATATATATATATATATATATATATACAATATTGATGGGATCCCAACCTGTAGCCATAGAGTGATGTGTTTTTCACCACTGGAATCACAACAAGAAGGAAAGAAACACCTAAATGGACAAACTTTCTACCTGAAGAAGTTCAAAAGGCAACAGCCTAGGTTCAGAATGACAGGATCGTGTATGCCGCCCTCAGCCTAAGGAACAGAACTCATCCAGTCTGGAATTATGAATATTCATCCTCACTCCTCAACAAAGTGGACAAGGAGTATTCTGCTTGCCCCTGGAATTATGGAGAGGACATGGAACCTATGTTCAACCAAGGACCTAGGATAGGACCATTTTGCATTCGGAATTATGAGGAGATAGTGGACTGCCTTCCATGAACAATATACGAAACCGACATTGATCACAGAGAAGTGCCAAGCACACCCCAATGGGTAGCTTCATATCAGATCTGAGCTGAAATTCTGAGTAGCCTCCCGCAGAGACTGGTGCCACTCCTACTGACATCTGGGAAAAACATCCAGGGACCCTAGTAGGAGGGACCCCCAACTTCGCCCTTTTCTCCAACAGTGGAGGAACACACTCAAACACTCTGGAGGAAAAGCCTCTGTCTACCCCAGCGACTGAAAACTAGGGGTGGTAAGGACTCCTGAGCTCCACCAGTAGAGTCTGGGGGGTAAAACACATTGGGGAGCCCTGAGGAACAGTGCTCTGGAAACTGTGCAATAGCTGAATCAAGTTCCCTACATTTGTAAAAGCAAACTGATCCCAATTTATTCAACCTGAAGATCAGCAGGGACGGGCAAGAGTCCTTTAGGCTTTACTCGTGAATGTCCATGAGTGGCAGTCCATAATAAGGTAGTACACCATCCAGTAGGCACTCAGATGGTTATATGGAACACCCCATTTCAACAGAGCCTGTTGCAACTTGTAGAAATTATAGTGAAAGTGGTTGCTAGTGCAGAATTGAGAAAAGAAAGCATACCTGCCAGGGCAACACTCACCATACAGTGGGATCCAGTGAAAAATAAAGGGACCCTGGAAACAAAAGAGTATATGAATGAGGAAAATCCTCACTTCTGGTTAGTCTAACAGACATGGTCCAAATAACTACGGGGTAGTCAAAAACCCTCAAAAGAGGAAGCTGCCAGATCATATAAGTAATGATATAGGAAAGTATTAGTAGTCCACATAGCTACCCGCACAATGTTTTCCAGATGACAATTCAACCAAGTGGCTAATGACATAGAAATATGATGAATCTGGTGAGATGTGACATGTAAAAGATTCCTCTCCTGTGACGATAATCCATTATAGGCAATGTGAATCCAGTTGCGAAGCCATCTTGTGAGGGTAATGGGATAATGTAGGTGAAGAAGATTTAAGAGCCTGTGAATACACAATTGACGATAAATAAATGATCGTGGTTGGCCTACTGAGAGATTTGGTTAAATACAAAGAAACCTTAACAGTTAAACCCTGATGTTGGACAAAGGACCACATATCTTCCAAGCATGAAGGTTGTGTTTCCAAACATTTGGGTGGAGAATGTCTGATCAAGGTTGTCTCAATAAAGACTGCCAATGTGGAAAAGTTAGAAGTGGACATTCATGCAGATACTGAAAAAGCAGAAACCATGCTTGAGCTGGTCAATATGATGCAACCAAGAGAACTCAACAGGGAATAGAATGAACCATAGTCAGAACTCAGGCAAAAGCAGAATTTGGGGAGGGTTATACAGATGTAAACCTTTCCAGTCCTGACTCAACACATCTACTGCCAATGCTTGAGGTATCAGAGAAACAAAACAACTGCCGTTGAGAATTTCAATGAGCTGCAAAGGCATCGATTGTTGGAAACCTGAAATCCACTGAAAAACCTTGTAATGTAGCATCCATTCCATCGGAAGAATCCCGTTGGGTCGAGACAAGTAACCTGCAATTAAATTCATCACTCCTAGAACATAACATGCTTAAAGACTGATATGATGGGAATGAGCCCAGTAGAGAAGCTCCAAGGTATGAAAACAAAAGTCTCGAGAATGAAAGCCTCCTGGATGAGTAATCTGAGATATCCTGCTGTGGAACTGTAGTAGTGTTGCTACTGAGTAATGAGACAGGATGATCCAAAGAATCAGAATGCATGATCCATTGGTCATGCATTAACTACTGAAGGAACCTCATTCATGCTCGTCCCAAAGGAGTGAGAGGCTCGAGGGATGCCCACATCCCCAAAAGAGTAAGAACCATCTGCACAATAGGAGAAGGAGACAGAAGTAAAAGCCTGACTGCTCTTTACATGACTTGAAGCCTAATGGGGTTAGGTTGAGTGCAACTTAAGTGAATATTGTAAAACACACCCAATTGGATGAGAAACTGCATTGGTGATGAGATGGTGGAATGGGTACCCCATAGTAGTGTTGCTCCAATCCAACCACCATTCACAACTGACGATGATGCTCTCGAGTAATGAGACAGGATAATCCAATGGATCAGAATGCATGATCCATTGGTCATGCATTAACTACTGAAGGAACCTCATTCATGCTCGTCCCAAAGGAGTGAGAGGCTAGAGGGATGCCCA